CCTGGCTAATTTTTAAAATTTTTTGGTAGAGATGGGATCTTGCTATATTGCCCAGGCTGATCTCCAACTCCTGGCCTCAAGCAATCCTCCTGCCTCAGCCTCCCAAAGTGCTGGGACTATAGGCGTGAGCCACCGCGCCCAGCTAAAGCCCTACTTTGAAAGCTCCCAGTCATGGCCTGGAGTGGGTCTAGACTGTCCTCTTGTCCCACTGCGCCCACGCTGTCCCCTAATCCCTCCCAGCCCAGCTGACTTTGTACCAATCTAGAAACTACCTACCTGTTCCAGATACAGCGCCAGGAACTCCCTGCCATGCACCACATGTATCTAGAACCTTCCACCCTGTCCCTCGCCCTCACCCTCCTCAGTCCCAAGCCCCCGCAGAGCCCGCCTCCGGAATAGCTCCTCCCCCCGCCGGCCAGCCCCTCACCGAAGGCTCTCTTGGGCTGCACCAGGCGCAGGGTGAAGGGCTGGGACTTGGGCAGCTCGCGCAGCATCTTGGCCACCTCGTAGTGGCGGCAGCCCACGATGGAGTGGTCGTTGATGGCCTCGATGCTGTCGCCCACGCACACCGCCTCGATGCGGTTGATGATACTGCCTTCCTTGATTCTCTGCGGGGACCCAGAACCGCTCGCGGGGCAGCCCCAGCCCCGCCCGCCCCCAGCCCCACTCAGATCCGGAGAGGTGTAAGGTCGCCCGCCCCCAGCCCTCGGGCACCTTGATGAAGGCGTAGCCGGCCCCGTTGTCCGTGATGGTCAGTCCCAGGGCGTCCTCTGTCTTGGTGACCTCCACTTCCTTGGTCTCGCCGCGCACGTGCGCGAAGATGAAGTCCTCCAGCCCTATCTGCCCCCCCAGGAGCTTCTGCATGTCCACTTTGTGGCTGTTGAGGGTGCAGAAGAGGATCTGCCCCAGGGGAGAGGAGCCCGGAGTTAACCACAGCTCTGTCCCCCACGCGGCCACCGGAGCCATGGGCCCAGAGGCCTGCTGGGGAAACTGAGGCCCAAAACTGGCCCAGGATCCCAGCCCATGGGACACAGCGGGGGCAGGAGACCCTCAGATTGGCGAGGAGGGAGGGTGAGAGGAGGCTGCTGGCAGGAGGAGACCCCTCTCCCGCCCCCCATCCCCGGGACTGCCAGGCTCAGGTAACCCTTTGGTTCCCTCACTCCCCAGGCCGGCTGCTTCTCCGGTGGTCGTGCATCTGCTGGCGCCCTCTGGGGGCTGTGAAGCGCCTGACACCGGGCTGGGAAACTCCCGCAGCCCACTCTTAATCCCGCCCTGCCACAGACGTCCCACCTGTAAGGGGGCTGCCTGGAACCCCAACCCCCAGCTGCGCCCAGGAGCCACCGAGGCGCTTCCCCGAGGGCTGCGATCCACTCCGAGGACTGGGTTCCCGCGAGATCCAGGGATCCACTAAGACCTGCTGATCTTTTGCGCAGGACATGCAAAGGGGGTCCCTGGGGTATGACAGCCCGGGATCTGAGAGGAGCGCCTCTGAGATCTGGTGGTCGGGTACCCCCCACACCCCGAGATTCCGGGACCTGGTTGTCCCGTCTGGGGTCCAGGCTCCAGCCCTACCGCCACCAGCCCGGTGGCCTCGGGCGCGGGCATCCGGGGTCCTCACCTCGGTGGGCGCGATCCCGAAGGCCTCGGCGATCTTGGCGTAGAGCTCGCGGACGTTGGTGAAGCCCTCGATCTTGCCCGTGGGGCTGCCGTGCGCCAGCTGCGTGCGGAAGACCAGACGCGGGCGGGCGCGGGGCGCGGCCGGGGGCTCGGAGGGCGAGGGCGGGGGCGCGGGCGCGCGAGGGGTCTCGGCCCCCCGGGCCTCGCCGGCCGCTGAGCTCTCCATGGCGGGGGACGCTCGGCCACCCACCCAGGCCGCCTCCTCTGTCGCCGCCGCCGGATCCGCCGCTTCCTGCAGCCTCCCCTCCCCCGGCCCAGGGCACGACAGCCGAGCCGCCCGGGTAAGGGGATCCGGGAACCCGAGCTGCCCGGGAAGGCGACACCGTGGGGTGCGGAGGCGGGGACGGGCCCCAGGTGTCTGGGCCCTACCAGGGCCAGCTGGGCTCTCCTCGGGGACGCCTGGTGGTCGGTCCTCAGGGGCCTGAGTTTCAGACCCTGGAATAACAAGGTTCCCAAACAAGGACCGGAATAGCTGAGAGCACCGAGCGCTCACTCTCTGCTAGACACGCTCATTTAATCCTACAACAACCTCAAGAGGTGGGGAGGGATGGTTATGCTGGTGTAACCTGAACACATCCCATCCCTCCTCTGCCCACAGCCTTCCATGGCTCCCGCCAGCCTCAGGGTCAAAGCTCAAGTCCTCCCTGCAGCCCACATGGCCCTGCACGACCTGCCCCGTCCCCTCCTCCCTCTCTCCCCCTCCTCACTCTGCTCCAGCCACAAGGGCCCCCTTGCTGGGCCTCCAACACGCCAGGCGTGGTCCTGCCCCAGGGCCTTTGCACAGACTGTGCCTCTGCCTGGAACACCTTTCCCCAGACCTCTGCTCAAGCCCCTCTGCGTCTTTGCTCCTCTGCTCCACTGTCCCCTCCTCTCACCACCCCCAATCTCCTTTCCCTGACTTAATTTTTCTCTCCTGCATTTGAAGGCACCATGTGATGTCTCAGACTTTTTATTTCAACTTAAGTCCTGTCTCCCCAGCTGGAACGTCAGCTCCAGGAGGGCAGGGGGTTTGTATCTTTTGTACTCCTGCTGTGTCCCTGCGCCCAGCGCACAGTGCATGGCACGTAATGGCTGCTGAGCCAATCCTTGGTGAGGGCATGAATGGGTCTCCAGGTCACAGGTGAAGAAGAAGCATCTATAAAAACGCCCTGGAATGCAACTCCGGGAACGCCTAGGTAGCATCCTTCAAAATTCCTACACGAGAACTTCGGCTCAGGAAACAGCAGCCCTGTCCTGCGCTGGCACGCCACCCAGCAGGTCCCCACGCGGTCCGCCTCGGAGAATCTCACACACGGCACATCGGCAGACGGCGGCAGCTTGCAGAAGCCTTTGGATGATGTAAGAAAGTGTATATAAAGTTCTAAAATTTGCCAAACCTGCTGTAAGCTACGACGTGGATGAAATTTGAAAACATGATTGGTGACAAGAAGTCCGACACAAAAGGCCCCCTTCACCTGTGATTCCATTTATGCGAAATGTCCAGAACAGGCAGATCCACAGAGACAGGAAGCGGATTTGTGGGTGCCAGGGGCTGGGGGAGGCGGGTGGGGAGTGACTGCTGATGAGGACAGGGTTGCTTTTCGGGGCCGATGGAACGTTCTGGGATTAGAGATGATGGTGGTACAATTTTGTGAATATACGAAAACCCACTGGATTGTAGACTCCAAAACAAAATTTTCAGTAAACTAAAACCAAACTGCTGCAAAATGCTACTTTTTTAGGGAGACACCCTTATGTTGTAAAACCATGGAGATGGGCTCCGAACGAGAACCCCGAATTTGGGGGCAGTACCTATGCCAGGAAGGGGCGGGACTGGTGGAGGGTTGTTGGTATCAGGTTGTGTCGGTCTCCTAGGGTTGCCGTAACAAAGTCCCACACGCTGGGTGACATACAGCAGCAGGAATGTAACACTGTCGCAGTTCTGGAGGCCGGAATTCCAAGATCAAGGTGTTGGCAGGGCCGGGCTGCTCTGACAGTCCGGGTAGGATCCGTCTTCACCTCTACAGCTCCTGGTCGTGGGTGGCAAACCTTGGCATTCCTTGGCTTGTAGACACATCCGATCTCCGTCTCTGTTGTCGCGTGGCTGTCTCCTGTGACTGTGCCACATTTTATTCTTATAAGGACATCAGTCGCATTGGATTAAGGGCCCATCCTACTGCAGTGTGATCTCATCTTAACAAATTATATCTGCAAGGACTGTTTTTCCAAATAAGGTCACACTCAGAGGTTCTGGGTTTAGGGCTGCAGCGTATTGGGAGGGGCGGGAAAACAAGTGACCCCGTGGCATGGGTGCTTGTCAAATTGTTCTGGAAACTTTTTAGGATATCTTTAACATTCCATTCAACACAGAAGTCTCTGGGAAGGTTCCTCAACAAGTGAAACTAGAATTGCCAGCAATCCATCTACGCAGCAGAATTGAAAATAGGTTTTCAAACAACAGCCTGGACACAAATGTCCACGGCAGCGCGAGTCACAACAGCCAAGAAGTGGAAATGGTGCAGGTGTCCATCCATAGGACAGTGGATAAACGCGATGTGGCCCATCCACACGCTGGAGTATCACTCAGCCAGGAAAAGGGGGGAGGCTCTGATAGGCCACAGTGTGGAGGGACCTTGAGGACGTCGTGCTCAGTGAGAGACGCCGGACACAGAAGGACACACAGTGTGCGACTCCGTTTATATGAAACGTCCAGAACAGGCAGATCCACAGAGACGGGACGTGGATTCATGGTTGTCAGGGGCTGGGGGAGGCGATGGGCAGTGACTGCTGATGGGGATCGGTTTCCTTTTGGGGTGATGGAATGTTCTGGAATTAGATCAGAGGTGGCGATTGCACAACATTGTGAATGTGCTAAATGCCACTGGACTGTGCATTTGAACATGGCCAGAATGGTAAGGTCTATGCTGTGTATTTTACCACAATAAACAAAACTCCCGGCCTAAGTTCACTCTGCTGGGAAGTGCATTTGAACCCCAGTCAGGAGGAAGGTTGAAGGATGGGCTGAGCAGCCGTGTCTGTCCCCTGAGTGTGTGGAGCCCACAGTGCACGACCTTCAGGAGAGTGGGAGGGCAATGTCCCTGCCCTGCCACTGGCTTGCTCTGTGAACCTGGGCACACTTAGGCCTCAGTTTCCCCATTTGAGAAATAGGGACAGCCCAGGCTCTGAGGCGCTAGGAGAGCAGGCCTGGTGTCCTCAGCAGGGTATCATGGGGGACTCTGGGCACATCTTCTGGCCCATCCACACCCCCTCCCACAAAAACCTTACACACTCCCAAGCTTGAAACACAAATTCCACTTGCTTTTATTTAAAAAGTCTGGGTAGAACAGTAGAGGGGGCTGCCGCCGGCGGGTGCCCTCGCGGGACCGGGCAGGGCGGGCAACACCCCCTCCCCCTACTCTGGGACACAGGGACTGGAGGGTCCCACCCCGTGTGAAACCCAAGTGCCCCCCTGCCTGTGTGGCACCACCTCATGGCCCCCGTGGTGATTCCGGGGGTCCTGCAGCGAGCTGGGCACCCGGGGGTGGTCCAGGACAGCTAATGCGGGTGACCCCCCTGCAGCAGGAGCTGTCCCTGCCCGTGAGGTGGGCGGTCTCATGGGGGCCGGCAGCCACAGGGTTCACCGTGGCCAGTGCCTTCTCGGAGTTCAGGGGCCTAGGGAGGCTGACAGCTAAAGGGATGCTGTAGAAATTTAATTTTAGGGGGGCTGCAGCCCCCAAGGTGCAGGAACGGCCTGGCCCCAAAGGGTGGACCCCCAGCCTGTCCTCCGTGGGGCTGGAGGTAGGGAAAGGGCGGAGCCCAGCGCTGCTTCCGGATCCTGGGCCGGCCCTACGCTCACAGGTGCTCGCTGTTAGGGGAGAGAGAGGAGGGGTGCGTGGTGGGGACCCCATCCTCTCTCAGCCCCCACCCCAGTCCTGGGGAACCTTTGAGGCCTCGCCCCCTCCGCTCCTCCAAACAGACGCCAGGGTGGGGGGCCTGGAGCTGACCCCACCTACCCTGGGCAGCTGGGACCCACCCTGAGAAGCTTTGGGGAAGTTCTGGGGACCCAAGCGGATCCCACTGGCCAAGGGGGCCCGGCCGATCGCGTCCAGTGGAATTTAGCCCTGTACTGTCCCGACGTTGGCCGGTTCTGTCACACAGCCCTCAGGTAGGTGCCCCCCAACCCCAAGCAGTGGTCTGGGAGTAAGATCCCACTGTGGGAGGACACCAGGCTCCCCCAGACCTCGGGCACCCCACTGGCGGCCCCACGCAGCCCCGCACCTGCCCGGCACACACCTGGCGACCTGGGCCAGGATCTCCTTGACGCGCACGATGAGCTTCTCATGCTGTGCTGGGTCGCGCTCGATGGCGCCGTGCAGACGCGCCATGTACAAGTCCAGGGTGCCCAGCGTGGGCGTCTCGCCAGTGCCTGGGGAGGGTGGGCAGGGGACGGGTCAGCCGGGCCCGGCGAGGGAGAGTGGGGGGTCTCAGGGTCGGGGCTCTACGGGGGCTGAGGTCGGAGGGCGGGTGGTCTGTGAGGACGGGGCCCTTCGGAGGACGTCGTGGGGTCGGGCTGGGGGTCGGGGTGCCTGGACCTGGTTGGTGTGGGCGGGGCGGGAGGCTCAGTCAAGGTCAGCCGAGAGCAGGAGGAAGCTAAGGGCCGGGTCACGGTGACGATGCAGGGGCTGGTGGGGGAGGTGAGCCAGTGCCAAGGTCAGCTGGGGACAGCCACGGACGAGGGGGCGGGGCTAGCGGAGGCGGGGCGCGGGGACTAGCGGGGCGGGCCGAGAAAGGCTGGGGGCGGTCCGGCCTGGGCAGGCAGTGGGATCTGCGCTCAGGGTGGTCGGGGCCAGGTGAGCAGAGTCGGGCGGGAGGGGCCGGCGGGGGGCGGTGCCCCGAGCCATGCGGACCCGGCTGGCTCAGGGCAGGCAGGCGGGGTCAGCGGGGGCGGGGCTCGGAGTGACCGACCCCGGGATGGAGGCGAGGTCAGCGGGACCCGCTGCGGTGGTCTGGGGAAGGGGGCAGGCTCCGCGCGGGGGGGGCGGGGCGACAGGGTCAGGGGCGGGGTAGGGCGGGCCCAGGGCGGGGCAACAAGGGCAGGGCGGGCCCGGGGCGGGGCGTACGCACCAGGCACTGGCAGCGACGCGAAGCTGGCGGTGAGCGCCTGGCGCACGGCCTGGAGCTGCTGCTGCAGCGCCAGCGTCCGCCGCTCCTCCAACGCCAGCTCCTGCTCCAGCCGCTCGCGCGCGCTGCTCATGCTCTGCGTGTGCCGCTGCAGCACCGCGTTCTGCTCCTCGAAGGCCACGTTCATCTTCCGCAGGCGCCGCAGCTCCGCCTCCCGCGCTGCAGGGGCGGCGGGTCAGCTCCTGGGCCCGGCTTTGCCCCCCCCCCCGTATCCCCGCCCCCGGCCTGCGTAAGCTCCCAGGGCGGCGGCGGCACCTAGGCTTTTAGAGGTACCTTCCCGACCCCCCTCCGCCCGCCTTGGCTCTTTCCTGGCGCGCCCTCTCCTCCACCACCCGTGTCACGGAGCCCGCACCAGGACCGAACCAGGACTCCGGTTACCGCTCACCTTTGTTTTGGTCCAAGAACTCTTCAGTGAAGATGGGAACATCGAAGGTGGAGAAGCCGTCACAGTCCCCACCCTGGGACGAAGGGACAGAGAATGTTTTCTGGGGGGACGGTCACATCCGTTCTGGATGTCCCCCAAGCCTGTGAGGATCTCCTGGGGGACAACCTGGGTCACAGCCAACTTAGCACCATCCCCAGGAGTGGCTGCTCCACCTCTGCTGGCACATCTTTTTTTTTTTTTGAGACAGAGTCTCATTCTTTTGCCCGGGCTAGAGTGAGTGCCGTGGCGTCAGCCTAGCTCACAGCAACCTCAAACTCCTGGGCTCAAGCGATCCTCCTGCCTCAGCCTCCCGAGTAGCTGGGACTACAGGCATGCGCCACCATGCCCGGCTAATTTTTTCTATATATTTTTAGTTGGCCGATTAATTTCTTTCTATTTTTAGTAGAGGCGGGGTCTCGCTCTTGCTCAGGCTGGTTTCGAACTCCTGAGCTCAAACAATCCGCCCGCCTCGGCCTCCCAGAGAGCTAGGATTACAGGCGTGAGCCACCGCGCCCGGCCTGCTGGCACATCTTTGGACAAGGAGCGATCGCTTCGTCCCCTGAGCTTGGGTTTTGGCTCACTCGGGGCTTAGGCGCCTCCAGACGGGTCTCCCTAAGGTGCTGCTAGGAGGAGGGGCGCTTACCTTGTGTCCGTTCAAGAGGGTATTCATGAGCCCGGAGCCAGAGTCTTCTGGGGGGGGAGGGAGGAGGGCAGGGTCAGCCTCCCAGGTCTCCACTGTTCCCCAGCCTGGAGCCCCCGCTTTCCCTGCCCCTTTGGTCAGCCCTACTCATCCCGGGTCAGGCTCCCCACCTGTCCGCCGCCCCCAGTGTCTCTACATCCCTCATCGCAGTACTGAGTGAGCCCTGTTCATCCATAGCTGGTTGTGTGTCTCTCTCTGTCCCCCACGGGACTGTGGACCCTACGGAGGGAGGGGCCTGCCGGGGTTGGGATCAGCATCTCATAGAGCTTGTCACCCAACTGCTCTGGGCTAGGGCCCTTCCACCTTCCTCTCTTTTTACTAGCAAGTATATACAGCAAATGAAATAATAGTGTAATTTTTTTTTCCTTTTTAAGAGAGGGGCTCTCCATGCATTGCCCAGGATGGTCTCGAACTCCTGGGCTCAAACGCTGCTCCCGCCTCGGCCTCCCACCTTTCTTAATCTTCTTCTCCTGGATCTTCTCGGCGCACATCTTGTAGGCCTCGGACTGCTGGTACGCGCGCAGCTCCTTCATGTACTGCTGCTTCTCCCTCTCCGCCTCATCCAGGTACCGCTGGCGGGGCAGCACCCGGAGGCTTGGCCCACCCAGAGGCGGGAGAGGCCTCCAGGGCCAAGATCTTGACCCCAGGTGGGGCTCGGCTCTCTGCGCCTGCCCCTGTGCCGAACCTCCCACGGCTCCCTATGCCTCCGGACAGCCTGCTGCTGGGGCGCCGCCCAGCTCCCCCACCGCCTGCCGCGCCCCAACCCGGGCCCTGCAAGGCCCTGCAAGCCACTCCTGGGTGCCGGATCCCTGCCGGGGGCCTGGCAGGCCCCCGCACCCACGGTGGAGGGCCGAAGTCGCACTGGGTGGGGACGGGCTGCGGGGTCCGAGCGCGCGGCGCCCACCTGTTTCTCGGCCGGCTGCAGCTTGCTCCACTCTGCGCCCAGCATCTTGGTGATCTCGGGGAACGGCAAGTCCGGGTGGCGCGTGCGGATCTGCTCGCGCCGCTCGTTCAGGAAGCGCACGTAGCCCGTGACCGGTGCCTTGGGCCCGTTCGGCAGGATCTTCTTCCGCTTCTTGCCCTTGGGCCACCCGCGCTTCTTCACCGGCTGCGGAACCGCGCGCGTGGTTGGGCGGGGCCTGGAGGGCTGGGGCGGGGCTCAGAAGGGGCAGGGCAGGGGCGTGGCAGGGAATGGGTGTGGCCTGTCGTGTGGGCGGGAACTAGCCGTGTGGCAGGACCCGGAAGGGCTTGAGGTATGGCCTGGTCAAGAGTCAGAACCCTGGGGATTAGGGGGTGCCTGGCCAGGGCATCCAAGGTAGCGAGGGTGGGGGCGGAGCCCAGGGATGGGGCTGCCTGGTGTTGTGGGCGTTGCCTCTGGGTGGTGGGCGTGGCTTCTTGCCGGAGGCAGGGCCCATAGGACGCTGGGAAGGTGGCAGTGGGCAGGGCCTCCAGCATGGGGTGAGCTAGCATTGGGCGGTGGACGGGACTTGGACTTAGAGTGGCAGTCTAAGCGGCGTGATATCTGACACGGGGCGGGGTCTAAGCCTACGGAGGAAACTCCGGGCTGTAGGCGGAGCCACAACCAATTCAAATCTAGCCTGGGGCGGGGCTTCAGGCTGGGGGCGGGACCCCGGGGCCTCCCCACCACCCGGCAGCGACTCTCACCTCCTCCTCGTGGGACCCCTTCTCGCCGGCGCGTGGACCCTCGCCGCGCTCTTGCTTGACAGCCACCACGAAGCCCCCGTGCTGGCCCGGAGCCTTGCCGCCCGCCGGCCTGGAGCCAGGGGGAACACGTCACCCCCGCCCCCAGAGCCTTCCCTGTCCCCCCACACTGTCCCTGAGCGTTCAGGGGCCAGCGACTGCGGGGCTGGCGGCGGGGGGAGTGCGTCAGGGAGGCGGGT